AGGGAGAGTGTCCATCAGCACTGGCTTGACAGCACACAAATAAGCAACTGGCAGGGGAAGTGCTGGTGCCATGGGTAAAAGTCGAGATGTCATTATTCAAAAGCACAAGTGAATTAGTGGTTTTGCAGTGTGGGGATGCAGAAGCCTCAGAACACGGGGAAATCTGAGGTACTGTGCAATAGTGTCAGCAAAGAATAGGAGGGGAGCTGTGCTTATGACACATGCAACTGTGGGGATACAGGACAAATCTGTTGGCTTCCCATTTGTCTTAATATTGCTACCTTTATTTCTAATACAACACAAAGTAAAACTGATTGCTTTGTCATTACATTTTTTTTGGAAACTTGACTTGTTCAGTCTTGTCTCAGATTCACATTAAGTACTTAAAATACTTTAAGTAACAGTCATTGCTCTAAGAGAACCCCACCAAACATGTCAAATTCATCCTTCCTCTTCTTTCCATAAAGGAATGTAACTGCAGTAGTTTTCTAAAGATGGTTACAGAATTAAACAGAGCTTAGAAATAGACACAGCTAGTGTTGCTTAGATTCACTAGGATAAAATCCATGTTGATTGAAATAAGAAGTTGAATAATCTGAATTTTGACACGTTAATTCCAGCTTGTACCTCAAAACCCAAATAATCTGTCGAGAGTCAATGCATGAAAATTATAATTCCAGGGTAAGCACCTGCAGCTACTGCCAAACCATGTTTTTTTGTTTTTAATAAGATACAAAACACATTGTAAAGCTTAAAAATTATTAAATTATACTTTCAAGCAATAACATGTATCTAGTAGGTGAGCATTATACAAAGTACATACTGTTTACAACTGCTACCATAAAATTTGCTGCAGTTTCATTTCATATTTGAGGTCTTTTAAGCCACAAAACACCTATGCAATCTTAAATTAAAAGCAGTTGAAGAGTAGTTATCTAAATTCCTTTCTTAGAGCAAGAACTAGCAGCATGTCCAATTGCACTACTACTTTTTTTAACCAGAGATCAAGAAATTAATTCACAGGTATACAAATAGCACCTATTGCCAACCAATTTGATTATTTTCATAGCACCTTTCTACAAATCATTCCTCAACATCATAGGAATAACATTTCCTTTTTCTAACATACCAGGCTGCAACATATATAATAGTTTTTCTTCTCTCTCCAAAATGGAATACCTTAAGTCACTCTTTGTTAAGTGTTACTAATAATCTATTTAGATGTATAACATTACTTCATAAAGATCAATTCTAGAAGAAAAAGATTAAACAGGATTATAAAACCTAAACAAGTTTTTAATCACTGCACACTTTGATGCCTGCTTATACATTTATCTGTTATTGTGAAGAAAGTTAGGCTGTAGTTTCCTTATAATAAACCCATTAGTAATTTTATTGCAGCACTAAATACATCTGGCCTTGGCTTTGTTGGTAATACACAAGGACTAATAGGAAAATTTAGTTCATAAATAGAAACGTTTATCAGAGAATCAAATTAAGCGTAATTTTCTGTGGCTTGCATTTATACAGAAGTTGTATCTACATATCAAACACCTTTTACTTGAACTTGAAAATCTGAAAATTAACATTTATAATCTAGTTCAATTGTAAAATTCAAATCAGTTCAGCAATTCATACAAATTTGCAGGTGGGCAAAGTAACTGTACAAAAAAAGTAGGTACATATCACCCAGGTGACAAAACTGCATGAGTAGAATATTCACCATTATTTGATTTGTATTAAAAAGGTTGTTCACACAAAAGTTATGTATCTGCTAACTGGTCTGATGCAAGGCAGTAAGGGAACCAATAAAAGGCACTAACACTAGAGTTTCAATTTTAAAAAATCCCAAACTATAATAATTATTCTACTAAGAATGTAACCCATATAGAGTCCAAGTTACAAC